GTTCAACAAATTAGTGGTCACACGAGGATCCTATATTTAAAATGTAAAATTCATTTACATTTTCATTTATAGATAATAATTCTTTCAAAACATATTGCTCCTAGGAGGAAAAAAAAGTGAGGTTTGTGGTGGCAATGAGACCAGGGATAGTCAAACCCAGCAGAGTCAGCAAACAGGGTTGTAAAGACAGATCTGACTGCAAATGTCCCTTTTTATTATCTGTCCTTCCATTTTGTTCAAAGCCAGGCAGAGAACTGCTGTCAGATACAAGAGAGCCTCCTGGGAGCAGACTGAGGTTTATGGTTGCTGAGTTAGTTGCTAGGCCTGCCAGAACCAAGTGCCATAGGCTGAGTGGCTTAAACCAGGGGTCTCCAACCGCTGGCCACAGGCTTGTTCCAATCCATGGTCTGTTAGAAACTGGCCACACAGCAGGAGGTAAGCAGTGAGCAAGCAAGCAAAGCTTTCTCTGTATTTACAGCCACTTTCCATCACTGGCATACCGCCTGAGCTCCACCTCCTGTGAGATCATCACTGAAAAGCCTGCTTCCATTGCCAACAGTCTATGTAGCAGGGTTTTCTGCAGTGACAGCAACCGACATGAGATTACGGAGTAGACTGAACATAAACAACACACTTTGGGTGTCACTGTCTCACATCACACCTAGATGGGACTGTCTAGTTGCAGGAAAACAAGTCCAGGGCTCCCACTAATTCTGCATTATGGTGAGTTGTATAACTATTTTATTTATATATTACAATGTAACAATAGTAGAAATTGAAAGGTACCTATAGAAACCTAGACAAAACGTAGTTTATTCTTTAGTCTTTGTGCCTCAGTGTAACCATTAGAAAGTATTCAGACATTCTACTGCAGGACAAACAGCAGCCTATCCCATCCCCTCTAGGTAAATCTTCAGATGCAAGATCAGGACTGCCCAAACAACCACCCCACCTTTGGTCAAGGAATTTGTAAATTGCAAATGTCTAGCAAGTCCCTTTCAGGAATCACCCCTCCCCCAGGGTTAACCTAATCAGCCCTCTGTGAACCATGTGACACAGATAAGCCCCACCATGGCAGCAATCATGTGACTAACCTACACATCTGCCTACTGTCCATCACCTGACATCATCAGTACCTGCGCTCGCCTGCCCCTTTTTGATGGCGTGGAAGAGACCACCACCCAATCATCTTAATGATCCTCCCCCGTCTAGGGGAATGGTTAAAAGGACTCAACCACAAGCAACCGGGGACCATTGCCTTGCTAGAGCCTGGTCTGGCCATGTGCTCTTTGAGCCATGGCTGTCGCCATGCTTCCTAGCTTTGGTCCCCTTCCTCCACCTTGGGGATGTGAATCTTCTCTCTTCCTTCTCTTTCTCTGTCTAATTTACTTTGAAATAAACTTTTCTTTTTTAATCTTTTTGTGTGTTACAATTCTTTGCAATATACTTGGATCTCTGGGTTCCCAGCGCGTGCACCCCCGGCTTGCCAGTCCTGGCAGCGCTGCTGTGCCTCCCTACACCTCTCTACCCTCACCCGGTCCGTTCATACCCTAACAGAAATAAAGTGTACGATAAAAATGTAATGTGCTTGAATCATCCCAAAACCATCCCTCAGTGTACCCCCAACCCACTATCCATGGAAAAGTTGTCTTCCATGGAGTACGTCCCTGCTGCCAAAAAGGTTGGGCACCACTGGCCTAAACAACAGAAATTGGTTGTTTCACAATCCTGGAGGCTAGAAGTATGAAACCAAGGAGGCAGGGTTGGTTTTCTCTGAAGGCTGTGAAGGAAGGACCTGCTCCAGGCCTCTCTGCCTGGCTTGCAAGTGACTGTCTTTACCCTGCATCTCTTCCCATCATCCTCCCTCTATGCATGCCTGTCCAAATTTCTCCATTTCACAAGGATACCCGTCATATTGGATTACAGCCCACCCTAATGACCTTACTTTAATTTGATTACCTCTGTAAAATTCTATCTCCAATTAAACTTGCATTCTAAGATACTGGGGATTAGGCTTCCAAAATACAAATTTTAGGGGGACACAACTGTATCCACAGCAGTTGCCTAAACTAGAAATGATTGCTTCTGTGTGCGATGCCATATGCCACCAGGTGCTCTTACACTGTTTGTGTGGCGAGTACACCAATGTGATCCGGTGTCATCAGAAGAGGGATTTATCTGGGCTCTAGGATTAGGGGGGAAGGATGCATTTTGTCAGAATACCTGATACACCATGAGGAAATGACCTCCTTCCCCGCCAGACACCTGATTAATCTATACCCCTCTCTGACCACTCCTACCATCTGTATAGCTAGTGATTCCTGTAAGCCAAGGGTCCCAATCAATGTCTCTTTTCAGCAATGACATCCTTGATCCTGCATCCTGAGAAAGACACACTGGAGACATTTAGGGACCTTGGTGAGAAGGCACAGATGATCCTAGATAAGTTTTGAATTTGTTTCTTATGTGCTTACAATTAAGTGAGGCCAGAGTTGCAGGCTGGTAAAATGAATTTACTATGACAGTTAAGAATCTAGAAAGGCAGATTTATTTAAGAAAAGATATGCTAGCCAGGCTCCGTGGCTCAGCCTGTAATCCCAGCACTTTGAGAGGCTGAGGTGAGTGGATTGCCTGAGCCCGCGGGTTCGAGACCCGCCTGGGCAACTTGGTGAGACCTCATCTCTACAACAAATCAAAAATTAGCCCAGCGTGGTCGCGCGTGCCAGTAGTTCCAGCTACTTGGGAGGCTGAGGTGGAAGGATCGCTGGAGCCCAGCAGGTCGAGGCTGCGGTGGCTGGGAGCGGCCACTGTACTCCAGTCTGGATGACAGAGTGAGAGTCCAACTCAAAAAAAAAAAAAAAAAAAGAAAAGATATGCTGTAAGAAAATGGCAGGCAGAGGAGCAGAGGGAGGCTGTTTGCTGCCTACAAAGAAGCAGAAGTTAGAGTTGTTATTGGACTGTGCTGGGAGTTTTTTGCTGTGTCAGGGAAATTAGTGATAGGCAAGAGGTTTGCAGGAGGGAAATTATCTATGTATGGTAGGTTTTGCAAGAGGTCTGACTGATTGTGGTGCTCCATTTCTTTAAGATAGAGTTAGTTAACTGCTTTTCTATTTACAGCAGTCAGCAAAAGGTTAATTTACAATAATGGTTCACAGCTAGTTGACAAGATTTTACCACTCTCGCTGTGGTCAATTCTTGTAACATCTGGCATAATTGGGCCTCATATTTCTCCACACTCCTTTCCTGCTTTTGGCCACTGGTGGGAAGTGCAAGGTGCAGTGGCCTCTGCAGACCCCAGAGCCCTTCCCAGGTATTACAGGGGACCAGGTCAGACTCAGTGACCACTTCCAGTTCAGCTCTCCCTGCAGGTGCCTCCTCAGATCTCCCTAGTTGTTTTCTTTTATTTGCAGGGGGGAAGGGGGTTTCTGTGCCCTTGGCCATCCAGGCATGCCCCTGTTGCTAGGGTTGTATCCCCTGCTACCCTGGGTGCAGCAGACAACTGCAAATTTTAGGGGGACACAACTCAATTTGTCCCTACAGCTAGGGCTTGTATCCCCTGCTACCTTGGGTTGCAGCAGATCCCAGAAGGGGCCGTAGTCCTGGCCAGCAGGGCAGCCCTGAGGTTCCCGCGACCATCTCCAGAGCCTGACAGAAAGAAACACCTTGCTGTCCTGGCAGTAGCCACTGTGCTTTTTTAGGGAGCCAGAGGCCGAACGGCTTCTTCTCTCTTCCCCGAAGACCACCTGGATTGGCTCGGAACACAGGGTCCCAGCTGAGCACTCCCTGCCCCCTCCGCACGCCCCGCCTCCCAGGACCTCGTCCTGCAGAGCACCCACGATCATAGCGGGCTTCTCCCTGGTCATCCTGTTTCCGGGGCTTCATCTTACGCTGGTGGTCGTGGCAGCTGTACTCTCTGGGATCCAGGCGCCGGGGCGGGAGGCCGCACTCCCTTTCTCCACGGCTGAGCAGGCAGCCCCTTGAGTCTTGGCATGCCCACCCTGGCCCCTCTCCACAGTCTGTGCAGCCCCCAGGGCCCCGCCCCCCGTACAGCCCCGCCCCTAGGCCCTTTCCTGGCGTCGCAGCCCGGCCCCTCGGACCCCGTTCTTGGCTGTGCTGAACCAGTCTCTGGGTTCCGCCCCGGCAGTGAGTCCCGCCCCCAGGACTCCTCCACGAGGTGAGTCCAGTCCAGTCCGCATCCCCGGCGGTGGACACCGCCCCACGATCACTCCCGGGCGGTGAGCCCTGACTCCAGGGTCCCGTCCCGGCTGTGAACTCCGCCCCAGGGTCCCGCCCGGACGGTGGACCCCACCCCAGGGTCCCGCCCCGGCGATGAGCTCCTTCCCCAGGGTCTCGCCCTGGCGGTAAGCCCCTCCTCCAGAGTGTCGCCCCGCCGCGAGCCTCCCCCAGAGTCCCCCCAACCCACGGCGTTGAGCACGACCCCTAGGCTCCCTTCTCCGGCGGTGAGCCCGGCCCCCAGGGTCCCATCCCGGAGGTGAGCCCCTACCCCGGGGTCCCGCCCCGCAGCAAGCTCCTCCCTAGGTTCCGCCCCGGCGGTGAGTCCCGCCCTAGGGTCCTGCACCGGCAGTGAGCCCCTCTCCCAGCGTCCCTCCCCGGCGATGATCCCCGCCCCAAGGGTCCCGCCCCGGCCGTGAGCTCCTCCCCCAGAGTCTCGCCAGCCGCCCCCCCAGGGTCCCCAACCCACAG